TAATTCGTAGGGGCAGCAACGAAAGATGGAAAGGTGAGCATGAAGGCAGGAAATGATTTCGGACAGAGACAGGAAATACATACAACTGGCAAATGGAATTTCGCCTTTCGTTCGAGAGCCGACGAACATTCAGTGGAGGGTGACATTGTCACGGACAGACATGGAATCCTTGTCCCTTTTTGGGCAAATGCCGAGAACGATCAAAATCTGAGAGTGGCAAGTCCATTTAGCCGCCGTGGGCATGGACAAAACAAATAATGACGGAAGTGCGCCATGCGAAGGCAATATTTGTTGTCATTGACGTTTAACAAGACGCGTATGCCAAACACGCGGTTTATCCCTAAACCTGATGCAAACTGTTACAAACAGCCTTGCTCAGTCAAGTCTGCACTCGCATTGCTACCCTTACTGACATTAGGGCTCTACTATCCCGCAGCCTCGGCTCCCTTGGCCTTTTGGGGTCTGCCTTCTCGATTTTGGTAATTGCAGCTCTTTATGTACTCGGACCATGGCCCCTTGAGATGTGCGGCTTTAGCTTCCTTAAAACAGGCCATCGGTCTTGATGGATTGAATATCAGATGAACTTCATCGGCCTTTTTGTCTCACTTACCCCTTGCGGCGCCAAACGAACCCATCCAAGGTCTGATATGTGACTATTGGAGTCTCTAGCCTACTAATGTTGGCACATGACATCTTGTGAATTTTACCGCCTGCTGGAAATCATCATTGTCGTCGTAGAGCATATTCTAGCCTACTAATGTTGGCACATAACATCTTGTGAATTTTACCGCCTACTGGAAATCATCCTTGCCGTCGTAGAGCATACTGACATCTTGTGAATTTTAACGCCTACTGGAAATCATCGTTGTCGTCGTAGAGCTTCTTAGTCCTCGTCAACTGGTGTCCTTGCTTTGCGTGGCATCCAAGCGGTCGCCGATCACTGATTCGGCGCCACGCTTCACTAATAAATAGGCGGAAGGGATCGGTCGATACTGCATTACCTCGTGGAAGAGGGAGATGGCACGTTGATGGCCTTGCTTGTTGCAAACGGCAAATTCACACCGGATCTGGAGGACAGAACTTGCGGACGCCTTTGTCGTGCGCCGCGCAAAGTGGACAACAGGGGTGGTGAGGTTCGTCCTAGATCGGCCAGCCACAATATGGCTGGGGTGGCCTAGAACTGGACAGTAGGATGCAGCCTTAGTTGATCCCTGTGAGCGAAGTAATTGGAAGTATTTTTGTATTCCTTTTATTTTTTGAAGGGGTTTTTTTTTTGTTGCTTTGGGGGGGGGGTTCAGCACGCTCTAGTGACAACAGTTCGCCAACAGTTACGGCGCAGCTCACAAAATCTACTAAAAAGCGAATGTAAGAAAAAAAGCAAAGTTATCAGTAAGCTAATAATATAAACGCCAGCAGGTCACAAACTTTGTGGCACCCTGATCCGTGGACCTGGTATTTTTGTAAATTTTATGGGTATCTTCGTCCAGCTGCCATTGACCACTCAGGACCGCTACTCATGCCGCCTTCCATTTTTTTGGAACCCGCACCAACCTTGGTCCTGGACACCTATAGAACTGTTAAACGTCACAGCGCGATGAAAGAAGCTGTTAAATTCTTCAAATGAAAGCTGGCCAACTGGTGGTTGGGGAGCAAAGATAAAAGACCTCAACGCTTCAAGTTAGACAATGGGACAGAACAATAAAGAATACACCACAACATTTCTCCATGATAGTACCCCCGTATTTCTGACGAAACGCGTTGCTTTGGTATCCCAGAGATGCCGCCAAAGGAGGCTATTTATGGAAGGCGCAGACTGGACTCTGCACGTGATGTTGTATCATGTTCACAAAGACTCGGGTATGCGTATTTGATGCCTATAACAGTACCACCGCATGTCTGACACCACCACGATACCTTACTTTCTGCACAGGCGCGTACCGTGTCGGCCCACCGGGCTTCCAAGTCGTGATTGCTGTACACTGTCATTCCCATCATCCTGTGCTAAAATCGACTCTGAAGAGATCCAATGACAAAATGTTTTAATCCTGTAACCTGTAACAGTTGTCTCTTTCCAGAGCTCCTAGAAACAAAAGCCGCTCTGCGCATCATCGATGGCTACTATACAACATATATTTGTCAAAATGATTCACTGCGTTCAGCTCGTGTCGTCATCGTCATCGGACAAGGCAACTTCAGATTTCATGTCTCGCCATGCGTTAACCATTACGTCTCTATATGGGGTCAGCTCGCTAGAATCGAATGTAGCGGCAGAGTTATTGCGGGGAGGAATCCAATGGGACTTACGGCTTTTGC